ATTTTACTGAACCAATCTTCTATTATTAATTTTACGTATTGTTTAAAATTAGTCTATTTTTACGGAGTTAACTGGCCATTAATCTCCAATTATTCGGGAAAAATTTTAAACGGAGCGTAGCGTAACGGACGTGTTAATGGCTAATTAATCACCATTAACACGCTATTAGTGTGCCACAAATGTCATTATTAATACTAATGGTTAATGGTGTAGGAGTTACACTTTTTAAACTTCTTAGTTATAAAAATCAAAGGCCTCTCCATTTTTTTCTTGTGTGCCTTACGTGAGAAAGAAAGAAAAAGAAAGGGAAAGTTTTCTTGTTTAATTTTTAGAGAGAGCTCTTGATTTTCCGGCCAAATTTTCCGGCCATCCCCTTTAAAGTTTTGGTCGCCAACGTTCCTACGTTGTTCTTGTTCGTTGGTGTGTGGTTGGTCCGTACAATCTCCACATACGATAGCGGTTTTATCCTGAGAGGAGAGTGCCCACGTTTTTCCAGTACGGTAGGCGGACACTACTACCTTAAGGACAACTCCGGCGACTCCGATGTCCTTCCACGGTGTTTTGTTTTTGTAGGTTCAGTTCATAAAGACCTCGCTGCATTCTGTCCTAGTGCATAATGTCCTCGCAGCCCAGTGCATAATGTCCTCGCAGCCCAGTGCATAATGTCCTCACAGCCTGTGCATAACGTTCTTGCTGTCCAACGCTTAATGTCCTCGTTGTCCAGTGTTTAATGTCCTCATACAAAAGGCTGTTTGAAGATATATAAATATATTTTTCAACTTTGTTTATTTTGTAATATTCTGAATAAATTATAAATTCAGAATTTTATTTATTTTTATTTCCGGGGCCGTTCATCTTCTCCGTCCGTTGTAATCCGTAGTCCGTAAACAACACCGCCCCCTCTGCGGGAACGGGAAAGGCGGGGTTCCCTCGCTATTTTTCCCGTTTGCAAAGGTCTAGTTTTTTTTTTTTTTTGAAATTAGCCGTAGGGTTAAAAAATTCAAAATTCTCACTATTTGAATACAACACTCAAGCATGGACGTTTAGTTTTTATTATTATTATGTTTATTTTTAATGTATTCTTATTTAAAAAAAATTGTATTGTTTGATGCACTATTATTATATTTCTCAGTCGCACAATTATTGTAATTCTAATTTAAATTTTATACTTTTATAAAATGTTCAATTTATATTTCTTAAAATGTTCAATTATTTTATAATTTTAATGTTTTTAATTTATTTATTTGAATTAAAATAAGAATTAAAAAATAATATTAAGGGGAAAACATGTGTAATTTTAATGTTTTTAATTTATTTATAATTTTCATGTTTTTAATGTTCACTAAAAATATTGTATTGTAACTTTTTTTCTCGGATAGTACTCCAAACTTTTTTCTCGATTCCCACTATTACATTTCCCTAAAAATATTGTATTGTAATGTTCACAAAAAATATGTTTTACTGTGTATCATATCTTTCTAAAATAGAAATATAAATTTTTTGAACTATTATATTTCTAAAAGCATAATTTCAAAATTTTAAAAAGCGAAAAAAATTGAAATAAATAGAAGTTACCTCAAATAATTCGAACTTTCATTTACTTGCACAAAACAAGTCTTTTCAATAGAAAATCGTAATGTAACCATTAGCTTCGTATCGGCCTCCCAAACTCGCATACATGTGAAAAGTTAAAATTAATATGTGTGACTCTGAATAGTGAGTTTTTTTTTTTGAAAAATCGTAAAAAAATTGTATTATTTCATATTATTTTCCTCTTTCGTAAAAGGGACTAATAGTGTAGTGTTGGTGACACTCCTCTAAGAAAAAGTTTTAATATAATATGAAATGATAAAATAAAATAAAATAAAAAATTTTATTTCAAACAAGCATTAAAATAATCCATCCGTCCAAAAATTATTTTTTTTATTATTTATATAGTCAAACTTTATTAACTTTGTATATTTATTTTCGTTGTTTATTTGATAAAATAATAGTCATTTCACTTCTAGTTTTGTAGATCTTCTGATATATTTTTTAAATATATATTAATCTTTTTTAGTTTCACACCATTTTTAATGTAATATGATTCAATAAAGTTTTTTAATTTCTTAAGTTAAATATTATAACGCGCAACAAAAAGATAATTAACTTATGTTGACTATAGTAAAAGGCTAAAAGAAATAATTAAATTAAAGTTACAGAATAAAAATTTATAAGATACGGGTATATCATAACTCTATCTCAAAATGAAATTATTCAAATTCTATTAAAACAATTACTTATTTTAGTGACAGATGTGCTAGACTATTACTTCCTTTAAAGGTTAAGAGTTTGTTCTTTTTCTTTTTACTTATTAGAATCAGATCAAAAATAATTTTAAATATAACTATGCTCTAATAAAAATTAAATTAAATTCGATCAAAACGAAACAGATAAGCTAAAAGAAAATAAGCATCAAATCATTAACACTAGGTTCCATGTTATGCTACTTTTTGAAAGTTATGATTGTCCAGTTTAATTAATTCATATCAATATCTAATACGGAGTATTATTTTAATTTGTGTTTCTATATTTGAACAGAAAAATCAAAATTAGACAGAACTCAACAAAGTTATAAATTCTACGATTCAAAATATCCAGTGTTTTACAAAACAGAGATTAGAATATTTTAATTCAAGAAATAGATAAAAAATAAACAACAAATATTAAATAATAAACTAAAATTCAAACAGTAAAAAGAGATTAATTTACTCAAAAACAATGATTAATTAGGCAATAAAATCTTTACAATTTTGGTAGGGTGCGCCGGGCCTATGCACTAGTGCAACGCAAAGGCGACACTTGAAGGCCCAAGACAGCAATCGTGTCCGTTTACTCTAAAATAGAGACACAAAAAGTGTCCGTTTACTCTAAAATAGAGACACAAAAAGAATTTGATAATCGTCTAAGGAAAAGCATTTGAAGGTTTCTTTTATCAATCTCCAGATTTGGCTATTATTTGATAAAACAAATAGGGAATGGATCAAATTTCCAAATGAGGTGGTATTGGACTATTGCCAAGTTTTTATTATCTACCGGGAATTAGGTTTAAGATAACCATTGGACAAATGAACTCATCTTGTCTTGTTTATTCGCATATGATGTTTTATAGTTTTTGGTTTACCATTATTGTTGTGATGTTGTCTAAACCCTATAAGGATTTTTTTTTTTGAAAATTCAAAAATAAAAGTCTTTCTTTAAAGATCTTTACTCATTGTCTCATTGATTCATAATTCAATACCAAAATGGATCAATTCGAACTTGGATTTTTTTAAACACGCTGCCGGTTCATTTTTACTTAAATCTGTCCCACCGTATTTCTTGGTATCCACCAATTCTCGAACAAGAACTAGCCAAGGAGTATTTCACTATTTATCCAAGTATTCGTATTCTCTACATATACAAGTGTTATCTTGATGATAACATTTGTGTTCTAATAAAATATTTTCTTTGTCTTAAATTAAACTTCTCATAATAGCTTTCAGGTAGTTTAAAAAAACTAGTTTTGTGGTTGAGATAATGCTGTGAAGATAAATATTATGAACCACATACAATGCATATATAGTAAAAAAAATGAGAAATTTATTTTAAAACAAACAAAAAGACATGAAGAAGTTTTTGTTAAAAAAGAGAGTATAAAATAATGTCTTTAAATTCTTGATCGGAAAATATACTAATTTATAATGTTATTATTTTTTTAAATGATCTAAATATTGGAATTTTAGTCAAAATAGTGTTGTACAATATTGTTACACAGACTTACAAAAGTGGTTGTCATATTAACTTATAGAATTGATTGTTAGTTCATATTAGGAAGATGATGGTGGAGATCTTAATTGTCAGCAAAATACAGAGTACTAAAAAATACAAGTATACTAACTAAATCTTTGTTGTAACATGAAAAGCAACAGTAGAACTTGATTATATCATAAAAAAATTAAGGTTTGAACTTTAATTAAAACTGCTTTTCAATTGAAAATATGCCTTATTCTACTATTTTCTAAAAGCACCAAATAATAATGAATATTTCTAAATTATTTATTACGAAAGGGATATATTGACAAAGAAAATATCACATTATATTGTTTTCTATGGCAGACCACCTACAATTGATCTTGCGATGTAGTGGAAGTTTGATGGTTGGTGGGTGTCCATTATGTTATGATGTGTAAGGAGAGACTTTCGTGATAGAAGGCTAGAGATGTTTCATGTTTGTGAGGTAGAGCTCGCTTCATATTGGCAAAATGTGGTTTTTTTTCCATCATCAAAGTGCGTGATTAATAGGTAGTACGTAGTATATTTTTTGTGTTAGTCGAGAAAATGGTCTACTTCTTCATATTCACCGTGTAATGCGTGCATTTATTGATAGACAAAAGAATCATGGGATCCTCAAGATCTTGTCTTTACTGGAAAAAACAGTATTATTTCCTAGGAACTTGTGGAGAATGATTTTGATCTAGTTAATGATTATAATTGAGGATTATCTTGCTCTCGTGTCTTTATTTGATTATGTTTGTATTGTTTGCATGAATTGTTCATTACCCACTCCTTGGCTGGACGTGCTGAGTCAAGTCACACTCTAGAGAAGTAGCACCAAACTTTGTAATCCCGATATTGATTACTTAATGAAAAGTTTGATTTACCTCAAAAAACATTTATAAAAGTGATGGATCGATGTCCAGTCAGAATATACATTATTGATTACTAATGGGAGTGCCACATTGTATCTAGTTTTACAATTGGCATATTATATTGTTTTCAATCTAAGTTCTAATCCCCATTGACAGATTATACACTTTACCAAGAAAACCTATAATTGAGCATTATCTTCGAAACACAATTCTTAGTTAATTATTTAGAAATCCTAGGTGGCAAATACGCCAGGCCAGCAGCAGCGAAAAAATTCAAATTTATTGGTAGGGTGCGCCGGGCCAATACAGTAGTGCAACGCAAAGGCGACGCATGAAAACCCAGACAGCAAGCTGCCTAAATGGGCCTTCCCCTTAAAAAAAAAGTTAATATCGTGTGGGCCAATGGCCCACATATCAGATATTAAACTGATAAGAACAGATACTACACTTGATCTTAGCCAAAAGGCCGAGAAAGGTATGCTTTGCATGAGGGCCGCCCACCATTTTTATACTACCCAAAAGGAATTCATTTCTTCTACCTAACCGGTGTGGGAAAAAAGCTTGAAGCATTTACTCCGAAAAAACTAGAGAACAGATAAGAGATGAGAAGCAGTGAGCTCAGCAGCGCACCCAATGAAACATGTCCTTCGTTGTTGTTAATCTCTGTAAGTGCTCCTCCATTCCCAATCCAATTCTTCCAGTCTCCAATTCGTCATCACCTGTTATACACAGCACCGCCGCCCAATTCCCGGCTACAACCCCAAAACCCTACTCCGCTTCTTCCAGTTACCTGACTCTTTCTTCGAGCTCTTCAGTTCGGAGACTGATTCAGGTAGCGTCTTGCTCTAATAATGAAACGCTCGAAGAATCTAGGAGTGCCCATTTGCCTGCAAGGCGTGAAAGTGACGAATTTGGGTTGCTCAATAAACCGTCTCCCAAGCCCATAGGCGACCTGTCGGAGACTGAAACGCAGAAAGAATCTGAAAAGCGTAGTAAAGATGAAATCTTGGAGCCCTTTCGAAGGCTCTTTACGCCTACGGAGTCACTGGACGAGAAGTCTGTTTCTGGAGTGGGTATAAAAAAGGATGAACAAGTTATCAAGGAGGGCAACCAAGTGGGTGTAGAATATTTTGAGCCGAAACCGGGGGATTTTGTATTGGGAGTTGTAGTCTCTGGAAATGACAAGAAGCTTGATGTCAATGTTGGTGCTGACCTATTGGGGGTGATGCTGACTAAGGACGTGCTGCCATTGGACAGTAAGGAGATGGGACATTTGTTGTGTGACTTGAAGAAGGATGCTGAGAGGGTCATGGTGGGAGGAAAGGTGGGAATTCTGAAGAATGATTTTGCCTTCAGTGGGGAGCCAAAGCCAACACAGCCTGTTGTGGATCCTGGGACTGTCTTGTTTGCTGAGGTTCTAGGCAGGACTCTCAGTGGTCGGCCATTGTTATCTTCAAGAAAACTCTTTAGGCGTGTTGCTTGGCATCGAGTGAGGCAGGTTCTTTTCTCACTTCATATCATTTCCTCTACAACATGCTCAATTTGTAAGGAGAAAAATGAAACTTCTCCTGTTATAATAACTCAGTAGTTGTCACTTAGCATTTTATAAAAATGATCTTCCATTTGACCAGTATAAGGTAGATAATTCATAGTGTGGTGTACTTACTCATTGGACTTTTTGTTGCTCATTTCCGTGAAAAACAAGTGTGCACTTGCGTTTTGCTTCAAGGATTATACTTTTGAATGTGTTTACTCCATATTTCCTAGCTCCCTTGGGATATTCTGTTATTCGCTATGTAATGAATCTTCATGTGTTCAAGTCTTATACACAGTTTTTCTACTAATTTTGGGATGATTATCAATGGGCTTTTAGTTGAAATTCACAATGCCATTTTCCCTAGAATGAAAATGGGCATATAATTATATCTGCGTCTATAATGCTTTCTATTCATGTTTTCTCCCTCAACTAGCAATGACAATTCTTTGGGCAATTGGGCCTCAAAAACCTCAATATCGCATGTCATTTCTGTAATTTTGATTGATTGATTGATTTATTGTTATTTTTTCACTTGAGAGTGTCTGCCAATTCACATTTGCAGTACTTCCTGCAGATTAAACACCTTAATGAACCAATCGAGGTCAAGGTAACCGAATGGAATACTGGTGGTCTCCTAACAAAAATTGAGGTGATTTTCCCTCCAAGACACTGAAGGAAAGAAAAAACATCCTTTATACTACCCACACCAAAAATTCCTTTTTTACTAGACTAATATCTCAAAGACTATTGCAGGGCTTGCGTGCTTTTCTTCCCAAAGCTGAACTAATGAACAGAGTAAAAAGTTTCACAGAGCTAAAAGAGAATGTAAGTTTTATGGTCTTATGTTTGTGTTGTTTTGGAAATTGCTGGCTGCTTACGAACTATGGAGCATATGTTTTGATTACTATTTGATTTGATTAATTTGGTGTTACTCCCCTCTAAATTAAAGAAGCAATCTAAAGAACTAACATCGATTGACTTACACTCTTGATCTTTTTGAAGCCACTGCCCGTGACCTAGCCGACCCTCTCTCCTATATCCTCTTGCTACTATCATCCTCGTGGATCATCTTCATATTACCACCGTTGGCCAATGAGTATGGTTTTACCCACAGTTTATATTGCCTATTTCAAAACTCAAATCCCCAAAATCCTCTAAAAAATGAACCCATTCAACCTAGCATTTTCTATGAAAATGTTTCTATTCTCCACCCTATTGTGGTGATAAAACCATATAATGGAGTTTCATATCTACCAAGTGTTCTAATTCCATCGGCCAAAAATGGTGTTATGAAGAGGACTCGCTAGGATGATAGAAGAAAGAGGATACATATGAGAGGGTCAGTTAGGCCACTGGCTTGAGCTTCAAAAAGACCAAGAGTGTAATTCAATCATTGTTGGTCCTTATTAATGATGCAGGTGGGACGAAGGATGCATGTGTTGATTACCAGAATGAATGAAGAAACTAATGACTTAGTACTTACTGAGAAGGAAGCTTGGGTTGGGTTCTAAGTTTTTGCATAAAATTAGCTTTGCCTTTATTTTCCTTAAATTCTCAATTGTTTGTTTGCCTTATCTAAGATTCTAAACTATATTTGGCTGACTTGGTAATTAATGCAGAACATGTTAAATCTTCAAGAGGGAACACTATTGGAAGGCACCGTCCTGAAACTATTTCCATATGGCGCGCAGGTTAGGATAGGTGAAACTAATCGTAGGTGAGTACTTTTAGCTCATTTTGGTACATTGTCTTATTTATTTCCCAAAACTTCAATAGAAGAATACTAGGCAAGAAGCAAGGGAAGTTTTGTGTGTTATGTGTCATTCCGATTTAGTTCATTATAAAACATTGTCAAAATGACTCTTTTAGCTTCTCTTCAAGATTCAGACAAGAAGAGCCGATAAAATGAAGATATGTTTTTTTCTAGAAATTTGCCAAAATAGAGCAACGAACAAGTTTGATATGATAAATTTTGTCAAACTATCAAATAAATGAAATTACAAGTATCATTTATGACTTGTAACAGTCATGCTTCGCCAAAAATATAAGCTTGTAGCTTTGTCAAACAAAACTCATTTTATAGGACGTATTGAGTAGTACAATATGTACAGATCAGGCCTGAGATGCGGAGAAATTCAGGTCTTTCCGGTTTGCTTTTCTAAATTCTAGTCAAATTGACCTTCTAATTGATGTAGAAATTTATCAAACATGGCCCCTTACTTCTTTTACAGTCTTTGAAATGCTAATGATAGTGTGTTTGACCTCTTTTTTATTGTGTTCAAAGTGGCCTACTGCACATCTCAAACATCACAAAAGGCCATATATCATCTGTGGGTGACTTGTTGGCTGTGAATGAGAAGATTAAAGCTTTGGTTGTGAAGTCGCTGATTCCCGACAAAATATCTCTGAGGTAGGCAAACTAATTGCTAAACATATTCAAGATTCATTGCCGTTTTGGCTTCTTTCATATTCATTATTTTATGGAATGCAGTACTGCTGTTCTTGAGAGTGAGCCGGGCTTATTTCTATTGAACAAAGAGGTACGCCAAAGTTCTGTGACCGAATGGCTGATCACTACTTATTATATTGTGGTGTGTGTGCGTGTGTGGGTGTGTCTTATATGGGATGTTGCCATTGTGCAGAAAGTGTTTTCTGAAGCAGAAGAGATGGCAAAGAGATACAGGCAGAGGAACATCTCCCAAGCTGCAGCTGCTGCTTCGGTGACCACCACCGACGTGCTTCCTTTTGAAGATGAAGAAAGAATGTATGCCAATTGGCAATGGTTCAAATTTGAAAAAGGGCAACTACAATAATAATGTTTCAACCTTGTGATTGTTTCTACTATGAACCTTTGGCTTTGTTTCTCCATATTTTGCCATCAAATGGCTCTCTTGTTCTTCACTAATTGCACCAAATAAAAACTGAATTTGGAGACAACCATCAAAAGAATGTGGGAATTTAATTTGAGATGGATGATAAAGGATTTTATACCACCATAAAGAAACTGCCTCATGTTAGTGTTACTTTTGAGAAGAGTAACACTTAGAGGGTAAATTAAGCATCATGACTGAAAGGATACTCATAAAATTCACAAATAAACGGATACAAAGAAGAGGGGTGATTACCAGCTCTTCTTTGGCTGGCTTATTTGGTTTGATAGACATTTTTCAAATTATTAGGTCAAGAGTTTAAAGCTTGGTATTGAGGAGGAGAAGATTGTGCAGAAAATTACTCGCGGGTGACGCGAGTTTTGTCGAAATAACTCTCAGGTTCCTCTATTTTCAAAAAAACAATTGAGGTCCTTATATTTTGTTGTAATGACTGGGAGGGGACATTTCATCCAATACATCATCCGTAAGTGTTAATAAATGTATTTTTTTCCTATTTTTCCAATACCGTTTTTTTCTATTTTGCCATTACCTTGTTTTTTCTTTTTTTAAAATTTTTTTATTTCATTTGTTTTAATATAATACAAACAATTTTGAACTTTTATACGATTTTATAGAAGAAATTTAGTAACAAAATGAAAGAAAAACAAAGAAATAAAAAAAGGAGCAACCTAATATTTATTACATTAAAACATTTAGAAAAGAATAGGAAAAAAAATGGATTTATTAACGTTTATAGATGAAATATTGGATGAAATGTTCCCTTCCAGTCATTACAACAAAATGTAAGGACCTCTGCTGTCTTCTTGAAAATAGAGGGATCTGAGAGTTATTTCAACAAAACTCGCGTCACCTGTGAGTAATTTTCTGGAAGATTGTGCATCCAAGGTTCACGCCTAATTATTGGACATTCTCTTTTCAGGGACAAAATAGTGTAATTGTTCATGCCATTTTCATGCCTCTTTAATTATTTCTTTATATGTTTTTTTATATAGGAAAGAAAAAATAAATGGTGCAGTCCTTAAATCACAACACGCCTATGGGCCAGCTTGGTAATGGAGTTTTCGATTAGCGTTGACGTTTTAGATAAATTTTTAACGGTGTAGATTAATTTTGAAAAAGCTAACACACTTCTAACGTTATTTTCAAAAGGGCCCTAAAGCTTGTTTGCCCTATATAATGCCTTATGGGGCGGTTGTAAGTTATTGAGTAAATTCTATAATTGGTCCTTTATAACAGAGGGTTTCCCTATTTAGTCCTCTATTATCAAATATTACCTAAGTGGTCCTTCTTTTATGGATAACTTTCCACAAATAGTCCTTTTTTTGATCTTCTATCATGTTGGTGTTAATTTGAGAGCTAAAAGTGTAATTTCACAATGATAATATATCTTTTTTGTCATACACAACTCCAAAGGCTGTTCCGTTTGCGTCGTTTGTGAATTACAGTCGCTTTTTACGACAACAGTAGTCTACAAATGTGATCTTTCGTCATAATCCTAGCCCACAATCATAGTCATTATTTTTATGTTATCCGCTTAACCAATATCAGAACACGTCACTAGACATAATGTTGACGTCAAATTATATTTTTAGCCTTTAAATTAACACCAACACGGCAGAATATAAAAAAAAGGACCATTTTTGGAAAGGTACCCTTAAAAAAGGACTACGGGGGTAATATTTGATAATAGAGGACTAAATATGGAAACCTCCATGTTATAAAGGACCAATTATTGAATTTACTCCAAGTTATTTTCAAAAGGGCCCTAAAGCTTGTTTGCCCTATATAATGCCTTATGGGGCGGTTGTAAAAATTTTGATCCACGCCCCAGTATGCATTTGCCTAAATGGCTATGTTTCGACCCCATTGGCCCATTCATGTTTTTTGATAGTATTTGTGATTAAAATATTACTCCTTTAAGATAGTTTTTAATTTGTGATTAAAAAATATTACTGCTTAAGATAGCTTTTAATGGTAATGAACGATGATTAACTTTGAAAATGCTTAAATAAAAAATTAAGATTGGATATCATTTTCAAAAAAACAAATTCTTTGGTAATTTTTCGATTCAGGCTCATTTTATGGACTTAAATACATAAAGTGATTATATTTATTAGACTTTGTTAGAAGAAAGAGAACTAATTAATAATTATGAATCCATATAAAACATGTGAAAGGATCTATAGTTTACATATGAATCTTAGGATTACGATAGCACAACTCTTTTTAAATTTTAGAACTAGATGTTAAATTAAGATCTTGTTATTTTGGGTTTGGAATTTTAGTTTAAATATTAGAATAAATTAAAAGGGATGGGAGTTGAAGAAACTGAAAAAAATTAAAGAAAATTGAAAGTTAATTTTTTTAGCTAAAAAAATAGATCCTGAGGTAATGCTAGATCTTTTTTGAACTTGATAGGATTTTAGACCACTTCGTTTGTAGGCCGAGAGCTGTCATGGCTCAGTTCATACTTCATACAATCATACGGGTAAACCCAGTAATGGGCCGGGCCAAATTATTCATCTTCAAAAAATCCGACCCGATTTAGCATCCATCTTCCACTGTGCTGATCGTGCCAAAATTGAAAGATGAGATGAAGGAAATCTTCCGATCCGTTCAAAAAGAACCAGGCAAGAAGAAGAATGAGTTCTGCAACACTAATGGCGGGCACAGGAAGAGCACTGCTGGGATTTACCTCCGCATCTAAACGCCTCTCTTTTCTCAGAACCACCATTTATGCTTTCCCCTTAAACCCCAACGTGGTTTTGCAGAGGTTTCGGCCACTCTGCTCCACTGCCACCGCCGCCGCATCTACCGCCGGAGAGGATACTCTGCAGCCGACGAAGCACAGCCTCTTATTGGAAAGACTCAGATTCAGACACCTCAAACACTCTGCAAAAGCAGATGTCGCACCTCCAGCCAGTGGATTGAAGGAGGTGAAGGGGAATGGGCAGGGAGAGGCGGAGAGGAAAAGCGGGAAGAAGAAGGTGGTGGCTGCTTCGAGTTTTGAGGAGTTAGGGTTGAGTGAAGAGGTTATGGGGGCATTGGGAGAAATGGGTATTTCTTCCCCCTCTGAGATTCAGACTATAGGGATACCTGCTGTGCTTCATGGGAAAAGTGTAGTGTTAGGGTCGCACACTGGCTCTGGAAAGACTCTTGCTTACCTTTTGCCAATTGTTCAAGTAATACTCCACTGCTTATTCTTGTTCCTCTCTTGCTCCTTTTCATGGTATTCACTTCAATCAATTGAAGCATGTCTTCATGTTCTTTAGTGAATTTCAATTTAGCGAGTCCATCCATCTTTCTACTTTTTTCAAAGGAACAAAAATTTCCTTTGGTATTTGAGTGGGCAAGAATTTGGTTTACCAATGTGGAGTGAATACCTTGATTTTCTTTACTCCATGTCCGTACTCCGTTATATCTGTGTTGTATTATATGCATCTTTTCTCTTGAAATTGAACTTGAAGTCACATTTATTTGATAAGGAGTACTAACAAACAACTTTTAGGAGTATGTTTGTAAATGCTTTTCTATACTTCTTTTATGACCATTCTATCATGTAGTATAAAGAGAATACAGAGTACCTCGGTTTTTAATTTGAGAGCCTTCTGTAGATTTGATAGAATCTTCAAGTAAAATACATCCTGCAACTACAAAAATACAAGAATGACAGATGGATATCTATAATCTGTTATTTTGTTTGTTCTCATATTGAGTAACATTCTAATAGTCTTTGGTCAATATATTGATGTATTGAAATGATGGGAACTGTTCAGATTTGAGAGTGCGTTATTATTGTTTTATGTAGTGTGTGTGTGTGTGTGTCATGGTTAGCTAGCATCATTTGTTTAAAAGTGTCACTAGGAGTTTAAAGAGTTGAATTTGTAAAGCACCACCCTGTCATTTGAGGTTTTAGTATTACATTTTCCATGGTATATTCCCTTTTCAAATGTTTCTTACTGCACAGGGAAAAAAGAGAAATAATACTTGTTTTGTTGCTGCTTTTAGTTGTTGAGAAGAGACGAGGCATCAAATGGCATCCTAATGAAGCCGAGACGCCCTCGAGCTGTTGTTCTGTGTCCAACACGGGAGCTATGTGAACAGGTAGGTTTGTTCAGCTCTATGTGAATTTGATCTGTATATTTTTTTCAATAACATAACAGATACTGTCATGCAACTAAATTTCATACTTTTGAGGCTGGCTGCAGGTCTTCCGGGTGGCAAAGTCCATAAGCCATCATGCACGGTTCAGATCTACCATGGTAAGTGGTGGTGGGCGTTTAAGACCTCAAGAAGATTCCTTGAATGGCCCAATCGACATGGTTGTTGGAACCCCGGGTAGAGTTCTTCAACATATTGAGGAGGGGAACATAGTTTATGGTGACATTAAATACTTGGTAATTACAGCTTATTCATTATATATTTCTCTGTGTGTTTGTATTTTCCTCCTTTCTCCAGTCAATAATATGTCATTCCCTTGTTTTAATGATGCCACTTTATTTTCATAGGTGTTAGATGAGGCTGATACTATGTTTGATCATGGCTTTGGTCCGGACATCCGCAAGTTCATAGGACCGTTGAAAACACGTGCTGCTAAATCTGATGGTGAAGCATTTCAAACTGTCTTGGTAACTGCAACAATGACAAAGGTTGTGCATTGTTCAATTACAATAATTTTAGTTCTATGCTTATTAAGAACTTTAAAAAAGGGCTTCACAGTACTTACCCTGTGAAAATGACACAGTGATTAAGAGTAAAAAGAAAATTTTAAAAATGTCCTTGCCTACTTTTTTTAGTTTGGTAAAACTGAAGTGGAAAGTAGTTAAAATATGTAGGTTGTTGAGGGTAAACGTGTATTTTTATTTGAAATAAGAAAATGATAGGGAATGAGAAGTTGAATTTGGGATAACCAAAAAATGAAAGCGGGAAGTTAATTTTGGGATGAAGAGAGTATTTTTTTTAATGTCTCAACCTCATGAAAATTTGTATACTATATTAAGTTTTTTCCCACTTCTATTTCTTTTTCTTCATTAAATACTTGATGAGCTAGAAGCAAGCCACTCCCCCCATAGTTAGAAGCAACACTCGAATACACAATTGTGTTGTACTCCGTAGATATTTATTTCAAAAAAAGGCAATAAATTTTAACCATACAATTCTTTTTTCAAAGGAAAGTGAAGTTTATTGTGAGACCACGAAAAAGGAAACAATTAAATTTATGTTGGGGTGGAGGGACTACATGATAATAAGGTCTGGCAGTCCACATCTCTACATAGGGTCCTCAAGCTATGATTCTCATCGTATCAACGCCTTGATTTGCTCTTAGTAATTGTTGTAGAAGGTAGAATTGAGTATCTTTTGCATGATAAATCTTCAGGCAGTGCAAAAGTTGGTTGATGAAGAGTTCCAAGGCATTGAGCACTTGCGTACTTCCTCATTGCATAAAAAGATTGCTTCTGCTCGGCATGATTTCATCAAGCTTTCAGGATCGGAGAATAAGTTGGAGGCATTATTACAGGTATACCCTTATTCGCTCCGTTGCACCCACCCCTTCCCCCACCCAAAAAAAAATGAATCAACATTTAGGGACAATGACAAAAGAAGTGGCAGTGAAGCATTCTTTCTCATGCATGTTTATTCACGTGTGTACAATTACATTTTGTTCACCTGGTGGAAATAATGTGGTAAGCAGGTATTAGAGCCAAGTTTAGCCAAGGGAAATAGAGTGATGGTGTTCTGCAATACACTGAACTCGAGTCGTGCAGTAGACCATTTTCTTAATGAAAATCAAATCTCAACTGTCAACTACCATGGAGAAGTTCCTGCAGAGCAAAGGGTTGAGAACCTGGGGAAGTTCAAGAGTGAGGAGGGCGACTGCCCAACTCTGGTCTGCACAGACTTGGCTGCCAGAGGACTAGACCTAGACGTGGATCATGTCGTCATGTTTGATTTTCCTTTAAATTCCGTAAGCATCAAATTTATTTCCTCTCTTCTTCACATCTTCTTTCCTGCATTTTTTTTTTGCCTTATGAAAGGAGTGAAAGTAGTAAAAGTACAAAGAAGCTCAGATGTTCCCTTTATTATATCTCTCAGATTGATTACCTTCATCGCACAGGGAGAACTGCTCGCATGGGCGCCAAAGGTAACATTTCATTTCCTAGATTGTTTGTAACCTCTATACTTTGGTTACTTTGGTAGTTAGGCTAAGCATGGGTTTGACATGACAAGATGAAAGATTAAAAAAATGCAGGGAAAGTGACAAGTTTGGTTGCTAAAAGAGATGTGCTTTTGGCAACCAAGATTGAAGAGGCACTAAAGAAGAATGAGAGCTTAGAGTCTGTGTCGGTTGACAGCATTAAACGGGACATTGCGAGATCCCACATAACAAAACAGAAGGAGAAGTTGGTTAAAGCGTCAAACACAAAAAACAAGAAGCAAAAGACATCCTCAGACAAGGTATCATCATCATCTTCAAATAATACCAGCAGACAGAGAGGAGGAGTAGCACCTGTCAGAAAACCTTCAAAGGCAAAATTTTCTGGCAAAGCACCAAAGACTCCATCATCATCATCAAAGCAGCCGAAAAGAGTAGTAATCAAAGGATCTAAGAAGATATCGAGCGCGAAGAAAAAGTCGGATAGTAGAAAGCCCGGCACATCAAAACTAAATGTTGTTGGATTCAGGGGCCGGAGCTCATTGTCGAGTGAGAAGAGAAATGTGAAGGCTGCTTGATGTTTTTGTATGTATGTATGTATGGATCTCCCCTCTTTGAGTCTTCACTCTTGATTGTTTTTAGTGGGAGCATATTTAGGGGCTGTTTGTTTCAGCCTCTTAATGGTTCAGATGTCTGAATGGTTCAGCACTTAATGGTTCTGTTTGTTTTAGCCTCTTAATGGTTTAGATGTCTGAATGGTTAAGAGATTTGCCTCTGAATGGTTAAGTATTATACAGAGTCTGAATGGTTAAGACCTCTTATCTGAATTGATCAGACATTTGCCTCTGAATAGTTAAGCAATATACTAGCTCTTAATGGTTCAGACCTCTTACTGGTTCAGCACTTAATGGTTCAGACCTCTTACTGGTTCAGCACTTACCCATTCAGAAGTTGCCAAACAGCCCCTTAGTTTTTCTTTCATCACTCTACACTACACTTAATCATGATTAGGGTTCATTTCTTCGATTCTCCATCAGTCTGGATTTAGTATTCCACTCTCTAAAAGATGTCATTTTTAAAGAGTGAGTGTAAGATATTCAAGAAGTCCTTTAAAATTCTTGTAGAAAAGGAATGCTTTTCCCAATATTTTATATAAATTCTTGGAATAATTTATACCAATATTTAAATAAGTTTATTTGAAAATAATTTGAATCACATCTCATAGACTAAAATGTGATCTTTATTAAGGGACTGAAGATATTGATTCTCATTTTATGAAAAATACTATGTGTACCCTAACTTTGACATCACTTTTGAGTTTCAATCAATCAAAATCAATTTATAGCATTTTAGTGGAGCGGCATGCCATTAAGTTTCAATTCATGGAGTATTTTTTTTGCTACTAGTATTTGTATTTTGATCTAAAGATTTAAATAATACTCCATTTATTTTTACTACTCAAAGTATATTTAATTGAAAAAAGTATCTTTAGTTACGGAGTATAATGTTTTAAAAAAATATTCTTTTATCCGCCATTTACTACTTCCTTCAAAACAAACAAACAAAACTCTCCTTTTGTCTCGCATCTGCTTCGCCGTTACACTCACTCCCTCTTCTCTTGTATCGCGTCCACTTCGCCCACACATTAATGTTTGTATGAAAAACAATGTCATAGAACTTGTTCTCTCAATTCATTCTAATTGAAATTAGATCAGATTAGAAATAATTTTAAATATAACAAAAATCAAATCAAAACTTATTCCAACTAGTTCAGATATAGATTCCAAGCCAACGTTAATACGGAGTATATCCAAATACTCGGTATAATTCTCTTTTTGGGCCTAGAAAAGTGGGATCTAGCGGCCCATTCAGGCTGTGGCTTCGTCGGCCCTATAAACATTCTGCATTTCGCAGTTCGCACCAGTCTCCGTCTCCGACTTCACCGTCCCTCCGTCGCCACTCACCCGAGAATAACATGTATCGACGCCCGCCGATCCGTCTCTATCAATCCATTCTCAAACGCAGTTTCCAGAAATTCGCAAACCCTAGATCTACATTTCCGCCCAAACAGCCCCTAATTTCAGGGCCGAACACACTGTTGGAACCCCCCGGGAGAAGCCTTCTCCGCCGCCTTCATCCGGCGAGTCCGAAGATTCTGCCCGATCTACGGATGTACAGCGCCGACGCAGACAGAGTAGTGGATGAGATCAACCTCAAGTTCGCAGAAGCAAGGGAGGAGATAGAGTCGGCGATGGAGTCGAAAGAAACTCTCTACTTCGACGAGGAAGCCGAGTGCGCGCGCAAAGCTGTGAATGAAGTTCTGGAGCTCTACGAAGGGCTGCTGGAGAAGCTGCCTGAGAAAGAAAGAGAGGCTATACAGAGATCCATGGGGCTCAAGATTGAACAGCTAAAAGCCGAGCTTGAGCAATTGAATGAATGATTTATTTTACAGTTCGCCCTTTTCTGTTTTGTTTAGTTTTAATTTTCCATTGGTGGATCCATGGTGAATTTCGCAGATTGTTGTTTTTAACTCGGTGTTATTGAACAGCTCTTTTTTTTAACTGGGTAATTTTTACTGCAGAATCAGAATGTTGTGGAATGCAATTTGTTGCATATGAAATGGTGTCTTTTTTTCTTTTCTTTTCTTTTTTTTTTTTTTTTTTGAAAATTTGCTCAAGGTTTGCTGCACAAAATCTGGATGTTGAGTGCAATTTTTTTTGTGCAAAAAGTTTGACACTAACTGTTTGTAAATTGTGTATAAATCATGATCCTAACTTGAATGACAAGATGACACAATGTGAATTGTGTATTTACATTTGGAGTGTTTGTTTGAGATGTGTTGTTTGCTTGACAACAATCAATTTTTATAAAAGTCGATGTTTTTGAACTAAATGCAAGCATTTCAGTAAAAATAATCACTCCAAATGTTTAGCAACTTAGGCTATGTTCTTTTGGATTCAAAAAATTAACTTTCAGCTTCTTCAAATTTCTATCGGTGTCTTCCAACGATTTAAAAATGTACTCATATATGGTTAATATAAAATAACATCATATATCTAAATTTATAACATATCCTCTTGAACAGTAATGAATTCTTTTTTATCCAAAATTAAAGTTTTCTTACATATTTATTTGGATGATCATATAGTTGAGTGATTTTTAACACTTAAATTGTTCCAATATTTTCCAATTTCTTCCAACATAAAAAACAGGGCCTTAAGAGAAACAAAACGGGTTGGGTTCGGCTAGTTTCATAGATTTATAATTTGCATGCCCAAGGAATAAACACAACAAAAGATAAATGCATAGCCATTTTCAACGGTTCTATTGTAGTGCTACAAAAATAATGCCAAAACCATAGCCTGTTTAGTACTCCGTATAAGATTCTCCAAAAAAAAAACGAACTGTCTTCCTAGATTTCGGACACATCATTTGTTGTACATTTCAGGCTTCAAAACCCCGACATAGGGTAGGTTCCTGTACATCTCGGCAAAGTCCAAACCATATCCAACTATGAAATAATCCGGGCACTGTCAAGCACAAGAGATGAAACATGAAGGAGACTGGTGAACTGAAAGTAAAAACAAAGGCACGAGGGAGGCTAGTTCAGACATATATGTATAATCCCATTTTACCTGAAAACCTCTGTAAAACTTGCCATCCCCAACCACCTCAAAATTGACCTTCCGCCTTGACGGTTTATCAAGAAGGGCACACACAGATACAGACGATGCTCCTTTCGCCTTCAAATGCTCAATGAGGCATGATAGAGTGTTTCCCGTATCCACTATGTCCTCGACCTGCATCAAAAGCGAGAGAGAATCATGTTTCTAGACTTATTCTTGTCGGAAAAAAACATATTTGAACAAAAAACACGAAAATTGAGGACGAAAGGCCTCTTGGTAGGTTAAATAAACTTATACTTAAAAGCACACTAAAATCTCGAGCACAAATATATTTGATTCCAAACACATTTGTGCCCCAGCCATAATATATTTGTGCTCTCAATCCATTTTTATTGTGTCCAACCCACTCTTTCAGCTTGAATTTGATATTAAGCCTCTAGCTCATTCTCCTACTCTCCTTCATTATTTCTCATAAGGTATGGGAGAAAGGAACAACTAAAAATCAATCATCAAATCTTTGCATCCACTACTGTTTCATTATATATATCCAGGATATAGTCCCACTTCGAACACTAGGCTAAAAATGACTAACAAGAATACGATTTACCCCCTACGATTGCCGATTGGTTTTGAGTTGGAATCTCATAACACTACAATATCCAACATTTTTTAATAAAATAATATCTCAAAACAATTTAATTTAGCTAAAGGCATGTTTGGAACTAGAATTTGGATTTCAATTCCGGATTTGGCTAAGATCCCATGTTTGGGAAATCTTAAATTTTGGATTTGAGATAAATTTCTCTAGTTCATTACAAAGCTCAATTGAAAATCTCTATGTCTCCATTGTCATTTGAAATTCAAGAATTCAAATTTTGGATTTGAAATGCAAGAATTGAAATGAAATGCTAGTTCCCAAATACTAGTTATAAATTAGCAATGTATATGCATAAATCATGCTCTTCTAAAATTATTATAGAATTGGCTATGAATTGGTTACACAATACTGAAGAAGTCAAACTGCATTTTGATTTTTGAAATCAAAAGGTTACCAAATGACTAACCAAAACCACATGCTTTCCTTGAACATCAGATTTCAAATCGCAAGAAATGCCCGGCTTGCCACTGGAGACTGTACCAGAACCGTATGAGTCGACCCGAATAACATCCACCGTGATTGGGAGGTGGATTTTCCTGACAAGGTCCGCTAGAAAGATAAGTGCTCCGGTGGCAACACCGACGACGACGGGGGCAGCGGCGGCGGAGAAGTCACGGGTGATTTCCAACGCGAGGTCGGCCACTCGGTCGGAAATTTGTTCCTCGGTCCAGAGAACCTTCTCTATGTGATCGCCTAGATTGATGATGGCCATCAGAAAAAGCTATGGGTTTCGGGGGGATAATAGTTTTGTATCGGGGTAGGGTTCTACACTATAAACCCAAGCCCTCCTGTGCAAGTGAATTTATTTTCCTCGTAAGTTTTTTTTAACGTATCTCTTCTCTCCTTTTTTACAAAGATATTTTACATTAATAATTTTGATATAGAAATAGAAAAATTTACCTAAATAGAACTAAAATATAATGACTTTCCCGACCATATGTTTTTATTTCCCAATGTAGGACCTTTGGTCATTATCTAGTCATTATTCAAGTAAATGTCCATCATTACTGGACATTATTCCTCTCACTAGGTCATTATTAAATCCTCTTTAGGGAATAAAAAAATTTAATTCTACATTAGAAAAGTCATTATGTTTTAAACCTATTTAGTGCAAATTTCACATAGAAATAATATCGCTACTTAGGATGCTATGTTCCTAAAATGGATGACTTTCCTACTCTTAACTCCCTCAAAATCAAAACCCCTTACATACCTTGCTCCCCGATTGGCAATTTTGCAGTGCCAAATGGGTAATTAAGGTGACGGGAGGAGAGAGATTTTGGGAGAGTTTGCAATATGAACTATTCCGTATGAATTTTACGGATGAAACATTGTATATGCCTAGATCATTTTAATGTCAAGATTATCAATCTCAAAAGATCAATTGTGTATTATTATTTGAAGATTGAGGTAGATTAAAAAATAAAAATTACCTATTAAATATCAAATATTTTTCGAAACAAGATCTTGCATGACTATGGCCATGTTCACACCTATTTCTTTCACTCTTCTCCTTTGACAAAGATCATTTAACATTAAAAGTTTTGATACTGAGTATAAATATAATTTTAAGTTCTTCCGTGGACTTGAGTACATGCTACTTTATGATTCTTAATGTATTTATAGCAAAAAAGAAGTGAGTCTTTTGCAAAAAAAAAATCAACATGCAAGTTCGTGAAAAAAATAAAAAGACTCACATTTTAAATGAGTACCCTGTGACCATGTAAGCATCACTCAAAAAATATCAACACTTTATTACAGAGTACTAGCATTTTGACCCGTGCCATGCACGGGGTTGAACAAAATCTTTTTTGATTCTAAAATTTTGTTAAATACAATATTTTTTTGAAATAAAGATAATATATTTCTCACAAATGTTTAATAACACAGAAAAAGACAAAGTATTTAACATAGTTTCTTTTAATACTAAATTTTCTAAAAAAATCTCAGGGTGTAAAATATTTTTGGTATAATTGTAAGGGTTTTCATTTTCATCTAGAAAAAATATTTTTAATGGTTTCTTTGTATTCACTTATGAAATAGAAACATAAAACTCACCATGAGTGAACACTGACTTAGTTAAAATAATCTAATAAATGACAATATTCGATCTTGATTTTTGTTCAATGTCATTGCAAAACTTAAAACCATTCGGAATTGTGTTTTTTGGAACTTCTGGGTAGTCCTAGACCGGATGATGCCAAATTCATATGGGATATATAAACCTTTTCCCCGACTTGATTTCACAAAACCAACAATAACACTGATAACATTCTTCCCCCCACCCCATCGGCTTTAAAACTATTTTATGGTTTAGGATCCCCAAACATTTGGTTTTATTTCCATAAGTTATTCTTGAGGAGTTAACTTATATATAGAATCAAGAATTCGGGTAGAATATCAACGTCACTTGTTCCATCAATCATTTTTCCAAGCTTTCCATCTCAAAGTTTGAGTATTCTATCAAAAAAACTCGTGTGTCCCAATCCGTGTAAGAGGGAATTGATGGATGCAATCTTACTCTTCGTTAACGTTTAAACTTTACAATAGGACCACAATTTTGATGAATTGATGGTAGCACCTACGGGTCAATTATGTTTTGTCTATTATGCACGCAAAAGCTTGATGAATTTACTGTAAAATTGTTATCTGCTGAAAGCACTGTATAGATAATTTTTTAGAAAAAATGTCATAGAAATATAAAATGTTTAATTTGAAATACAAATACCATGTGTCACATCACATAACATATATATTACTTTTTAAATGGGTTTGATTATGCGTGGCTATAGTCAATGACGATCCATCTCTTTATGTATATGTAAATGTAATATCTAAAATAAATTTATACTAATATTTATCTCATGAAAAAGTACAAATGTTTTTTGTACTTTTTTTGGCATGAGTTATAAATATTTTTTTATTTTTTTATACATAACTTTTTAGAATAAAAGCTCTGGGCCATAATGCCTTTCTTATACTCCCTCCGTCCCACTTTAGATTACAATATTCCATTTTTGTTGAAATTAAGGAAGAGTCAAATCAAATTTTTTTTCTCCAAATTACCCTCCAAATCCCCCAAGTATCCTTCCCACTCACATGGATGAATAGTGTGTGAATAGTGTAGGAGTGGGAGGGTAAAAGAGTCAATTCCTTGTAAAGTCGTTGACTTTGTAATTCTTTTTGGAACAAAAATGTGAGGGAATATTGTAATCTATTTCGGGACGGAGGGAGTATATATTAGAATAAAAGCTTTGGTCCATAATGCTTTTCTTATGTATATTTTAATCCACTATAAAATTTTTATATTTTAACCATCATTAAAATACCATTGTCATCATCATTATTATTACTATTATTCAACACCGGACAAAATTTTAATCGGAGTTCTTTATAAATGATAGTTTTTCAAAAATAGAAGCTTTGGGTTACTTATGAAGCATATGTACTAATCATTATATAAATCTTTATTTTGAAAAAAGTAAAAATGGAAAGTGGTGGGTAATTTTACAAATTTACATAAAAATAAATTTATCTTGTCGGATATTTTCAATATTAATTAAAATATTTGTAACTGCATATGTCCTTTTCCTTATTCCTTTAAATATTTTCCATGTTAGTGAAAATATTTATATGAAACTCCACATGGAATTTCCCATTATTTTATAATTTATAAAAAATATGTATGAATAATTTAATGAGTTACAAAAAATCATACAAATATATTGATTTTTGCAAAAGTTTTCCTCATTTAAAATTTAATATATAATTTTATTTCTAAAATAATAAAGTAATTATGTATATTAAGAGCTTTAATAAGGAAACTTCCATTCAATGCTCTTGGTGACATGGACGATGAGGTGTTAAAAAAATTGTCTAGTCAGCGTGCCAAATGTCGTAATTCTGGAAGCTCAACTCTCCTTTTTAATATATAAAGGATTACTATTATTATTCTACTAAAAATAAAATTACTTTACTATTACAATTATTATTGATGAGTACATTTGGACCATCCGAAATATGAATAACGAGTTAGTCCAATTACTCTGATATGTTCTATAATTAATACGGAGTACTTCTTATTAATATTTCAGCTTGGGAGACTGAAGGTTACACATTTGATAAGGGATAAGAACTCGTGTGAAAAGGGTCTGACCAACCCGAAGTGATGATACTCTTACTAAAGTGATGCAACAAAAAGTTTAATGAATAAAAATGAATATACATCATATCTATAATAATTTATTTTTTGATGTATAACAATAGTCATAATAGTCGTAGATGACGAATGACGAGGGAATTAGGTATAATGAGAGCACTTTTATCTATCTTTATACTTCTATGATGGAGTATATTATCATTTTTATAATTATTCAATAGTAAAAAGAAAATACTCGTTATATTTGAATTCACGTCTCATTAAACGACACTCCAGATGTAGTTTAATGATAGGAAACTCAAACATCATACGAAGGGTTTTTTTTTTTGAGAAATGCAACAATTGTTAGTTGTTAGATGTCTAGGTCAGCAGTTTGTGATAACTGTTTAGGAAAAAACAGTTATTGTTAGGAAAAAACTGTTTAGAAAAGTTAGTTAAAATAAACTCTTCTGTCAATTGTTTCAAATTTTAAAAGTAAAAAACCCCATAAATGATAAAAGTTGTGGAAAAGTTGACCAAATTTATATAGATCCAAACATTACCTTACCATTAAAACATACAGTAATAATGTGGGAAAAAAAGTTGAGTCAAAACAAAGCCTATCAACATTGGTATAGTTAGATGAGAGAAGTCTTTCCATGGCTCATAATTACGGAGTATTTTGGAAAAAAAAACTATGCTAGAAGGAAGAGGTACAGGGCATTTGAAAGTACGGGGAAAAACGCTTTGGGACGAGCTGAAATGGGACAACTGGTTACAAAAAAATGAAAAGTAAGCAGAGAAGAATTGGATTGTAACAAACTGGAAGTGTATAAATAGATTTGAGACCTAAACTATGCCTGCAAAAGGCCGATCCGTTCACCAGTGTCATCCGAATCAGCAAGCACAACCACCTCTTTGCTCACTATCTGGAGAGGCCTCTGGAATTCCCTGGAAGTATCTGGAACCAGGTAAAAAGTATTACTACCATATTAACAACAGATACATAAACCCAATGTAATGACAGTAACTTTGATCTGGATACCTAGTAAATTTTGATGGTCAATCCTGAGGTGGAATCTCAGTACTAAGTTCTATAACCGTAAAATCAAAAAACTTTATCATTTGGATACTCTTTGTTGCCAAAGTCACCACATTGCATAGATATATCTTTGGTATTAAATTCCACAATTAGGGGTTCATCCAGCTCCCGTATAATCAAATGCCCTGTAGCTCTTCCCTTTAGGTGTCCGTTTGGCAATAACTTCAGCATTTAATTAGCTTTAGCGCTTAATATTTAGTGTTTTCAAAGTTTATATGCACCGTTAAAATTTATTCAAAACGCTTTCGCTAATTAAAAGTGTTGTTCCCAAACAAAGCCTAGTTTAGTTTAGGCAAAGTGATATGTTTGCAGGAGAACCTAAATTGTTTTTACTTTCAATTATGAGCGTTAAGAATACTATAAATCAACAACTTGATGAGCCCTAGCCACACATTAATTGATCCCGGTCAACATATTTAAGCATAGTTTGCAAGTTGTATCTATTGTCTAATGCCATTTGATTTTTACTACGGAGTAGTAAAAATTATTCGATCAAGTATCATTTGTATATTCTTAAAAGCATTTTGTAATGAAGTTTTCTACTAAAATATGTGTGTATCTGCATGCACGTGCT